ATATAGTCTGATCTCTAAGGAAAAACCTTTGTATGAATAGAATTATCGAAATTTAAATTTAAATTAGATTTATATTTAAATTACTTTCTTGCATAAATTATACTTTTTGATCATGACAAATTTCTTTATTAATTAAAATACTCATACACATAGTTATTAATTTGAGCATAAACATAATTAATTGAATAATTCGTATCATTTGTTGAGCTACAAGCAATCAGTGAGTACAAGTAGCGTATCAGTTAAGCGTAGCTGGTTAGCGAGTCGACCTTGTCTATTAACGCACTTGTTTTCGTCTACGTTTTACCTGCATATGCACACATATTCACTCTCACACATTTTTTTCCACAGCAACTCTCTCTCACCCGCGCACACACTATTGTTGCTCAGCTGGTGCTGATCTCTTTGGCCAATGGCCATCCCTCAAACGAGTCGTGCTCAATCTCATTCTTGCGCGCTCTCTCTCTCTCTCTCTCTCTCTCTCTCTCTCTCTCTCTCTCTTACTGTCTGTCATTTGCTGGCTGTGCGACTCACAGCGGGAATCATTCGTTCAGCAGCCAGCGGAGCAAGTGAACGTGCGAGGCGCATGCGCGCTCGGCTTGCAAAAATAATATTGAAGAAAAAACACACTCACACACAGAAACTCGTGTTTCGTTCGCGTGCTCGTGCGTGTAGCGTGATTCGTGTCGTTCGGCTGCAACTCTTGTGTTTTGTTTTTTGCATATCGTATGCACGCTTCGTCGCGCGTGGAATATTACAACAACGCAGCCCACTTTAAAGAGGGGCATGAAAAGTAGAAGAAATAATATTAATACTCAAGTACTCACACACACACGCACTTAAGCGTGTGTATGTATTTGTAGACATAATAGCCGCATTCCAACAATTACACAGCCTTTAAAGATGTTTCATTAAAATATTTTTTTTTGCTCTATTTTCAACAAGGCAATTACATAAACATATAAACATTTTCTATTGTTTTGTCTGTGGTACATTGTTCCGTGCGGCCCATTCTATAAGTCCACAGCAAACCAACACGGAACGCCAAGCGAATGAATTTATTTCCCATGTGTTGTTTACAAAACCAAAAAAGATCGAAACCCGGCTATAAACCAGAAATTATGTAGAAAAGGCAAGCGACAAGCAATGCGGTTTCTACGAATTGCTGTTGGCTTGGAGAATTCTTGACAGGCAACAAGAAGAGAAAAAAATCAAGCAAGAAAAATAAAAACTAAAAGTGAAAGTGTATTAAAAAAAACAACAAAAAATCAACTCCTGTTTGTTGCAGTTTGTTGCACGGACTCGTGGGCGTGCCAAAGTACGCAGATCTGTAAAACAGTAAGAGAGGGAGAGACCTATAACGGACTGAGAGGTAGAGCATGGGGGGAACTGAAGTTACAGTACATTTGCTCTTTATACACATACATATACAATTTTGTGTCGATTGAACGAAAAGATCACTTGAAGAATTCCGGTTTTTGTGGTTTTTCACAGTTGTTGCTGCTATTGTTGTTTGTGTTGTTGCTGCTATTTGTTTCGTGTTGCTTGCCCCCTCACATTTGGCGGATTTGTATTTTGTCGGTCATTGGTCCGAAAAAGTGTAGACAGAATTAAAAAAAAAAAAAAAGTAAAAAAGAAAAATACTTTTGTATATATAAAAAATACTCGAAATAAAGATCCAAGATCCAAGTCAAGTCAAATAATGGTAAATGGCAAATGGCAAAAGAACCGTAACTTGACGCTGACAAACAATTAAATTGATATAGTTGCCCAGATAATGTATTCACTCAGGGCCTGATACATCAGTTGAGTCGTGCAAGAATGTGAAGCATTAAGAAACTCTGATTTTGCAACACTTTATACCTGCAAAGAAATGCGGAAGACGTGGGCAGCATTTCATGTGGCATCACAAGCAAAAGAAATAACAAAAAAATAAAGATTTAAGCCAACATTAAATTAGAAATCGTGCGAAAGCCAAAGACAATCAAAGAAACCCAACCCGAGCCAAGACGGCAGAAAAAGTAAAAGAAATAATGAAGTAAAGCTCAGGTGTGACAAAAATTAAATACTCTCTTGAATGTCTAAGGTAGATCTGACTGGCTATAGTATTTTATAAAGACTATATTGCTGGAAATCTAAGAATTTATCTATTCTTCTACATATAGGGTAAAATATTACTCTTTATCGATATATATCCATAAAACATATGACAATATTAAAAGTGAATATCTATTTCCAATATCAATCAATCCTCTACAACGGATTCTAGCTTATTATTTGATATGAAAGCAACTAGATTTGATAAGTTCATATTGCTCTTCCAATATATAGGGTATTAGAAAGACAGAAGAGGAAAAACAAAGAGTCACAAAAACGACAAAAGTGTGTTAATGTCGCGCGTTTTGTTACGTTCGGATTCTGCTTTGTAGCCCATTTGGCTTCTTCAGAGTGCGGCTCAGTTTGTCCCAAGCGATCGTTTAGCTGGCGGGGAATTGCGTTCATTAATCAGATCCGCTAGATGGCCAAGGGGAAACTCTCACTTTTCCAGCTGCTTGCAGGCACAGAGGCAGCGCTTTTCTGTCGAATGATTAAGTAACTTGCGATCGAGCCTCGAGCTAGCAGCTACTACGATTAGATGATGATCGTAACAATGGGAAAATGAGCGCATAATGTGAAAATGAGCAGCAATTGGGCTTGGGGCTAAGGTAAAATGAAAATATGATCATACATAATATATATCTTTCTGTTTTGATCAGATATGATCAAAGACTGCGCTGCTTTAAGCATGTTTTGTCCATAAATTAAATACCTTTCAAGCTGTAAAAAGTAATCTTATCAATGGAAATTTTTGTGATTTCAATGATCAGTTAAGAATTTTACGAATTTGATGGGCAAAGGAGAATTTGTTGATATGAATTGTTCAAAGTTTTCGTGTAATAAAAATCTGGCTAAATTTGTTTATAAACACATAAAGCTCAGTCTTCCATTGGAGTGCCTTAATTGCACTTCGATCAGTAATACTTCAAGAATTTCTTTAGCTGCTTTAATGATACTTTTCTCAAGGCATTGAATTGCCAAGCATTCCAATTTCTCGAATTTGAAGTGCTTACAATTTCACGATCGAAATATTGCTGTTAACATTTATCGGTTCATATCAGGTATCCGACTGTGAATGAGGTATATGCATTATTGTTGCTCTACCGGATCAGGTTTGGATATCATTCCAGTCATTGGGCCAAATCGCTTCGATGTCATTAATCAGAATTCTGAAATTGAAAAATATTTCACGACCACAGCTATATATACATACATAGATATAGGCTATATCAATTGAAATTCAGCAAGAAATTGCCTGAGAGATTCTATTACATTGAATGGACATAGACGGATTTTTAATTGAGCTTCAATTCTTACTAATAAATAGAGTGATCGTTCAACTGATATTTTATTAACAATATATTTAAATAAATAACATCAATTTATACGACATATAATATACAAATGTGATGATGCAAACTGTTATAAAGATGATTAAAATGTAGCTACCGATTTTCTTATAGCTGAATTTCGCATAAAAATCTAATAAATCTTTTTAATGTTCATAAATTGCTTATATAATGGTCATTGAAAATACTCGAAAGAAATGCTTAAAATTATATCAGATCGCATAAAACTTTTGTTGTATTTAGACAAATATTTTGAGCAATCAAATACCAGTTCCATCCTAATTCTATTCATTGTTGAATTCGCAAAAAGAGAAATAGAATAAAATAAATAAATATAAGTATTGTTGCTAATGAGCTCACAATGTATCTGGTTTGACTACAATCTAATATACACATATATATATACCTATGTATGTTATATGTATAATAAACCAACAAGATCTTTAAGACGATCGCAAACATGCATCGGCGCTACCTGAAAATGTCAATCAGTTTCTACTTTCTTTATTGGCCTAGGCAGACAAAAGAAGTTATAAATATTTATTACAATAATTTGCAAGCCAAAGCAGAGAAGCAGATAAAATGCGGTCAGGCTGAAAAAAAGATGACTAAGGCAGTGGAATTTTTAATGTAGTTGTTGCCAGGGCTCGGAAGCGGGAAAGCAAATATAATAAAAAGGTTGTTTATAGTTTTTATTTATTTTTTTTTTTTATGGCATTATATGTAATTGCGTAGAGTCAGGCAAAGCGAAGAAATCAAGTGAACATGAAATGATGTAGCTTTTGCCCTTGGCACATAATCATTAAGCAACTGCCTCTGTGACTAACTTCAGTTTAATTGAGGCTGGTCTGGGCGCTGGCTCAGAGGCGACCGTTACGTTTATAAATAGCCGCAGCCAAAAGCCAAATGTTAAGCCGCTAAAGCTTGAAACGGGCTTTTGTAAATTCTTGCGATTGTATTCAAATCAGCGAACAATGTGAGATAGAAACAGATATAGCAGAGCGACAGCGAGCGGCAGATAGAGAGAAAGAGAGAGAGAGAGAGAAAGAGACAGGGAGAGACAAGCTGGCTGGCTTAGCCAACTTGTTGTTGACCTTGCACAGCAGTTTCATTAAAGCCATTGCAAAATCTTTTTGGCCAGCTGCATACGCTCTGTGCCTTTTGCTGTTTCTTTTTGTTTTCGAGTTGTTCAACACTGTGTGACGGATTTCCGCATTGAGAATGAGAGGCATATAGAGAGAGGGAGATAGACAAACTCTTTGAACTATGGCCTCTCATGACGGCGCCTTTCCATTTACCAACTGGTACATAGCGCACATTTTCCATTTCATCTCCAATTACAATTTCAATTTCATTCCAAGCTGCCTTCCAGTGTCTATTATCGACGCCTGCTGCTGCCTTATCAGCTCGAGAGCTGCGGCACGAGGTTGTCTCTCTGACACGTCCTGATAAGCCATATAGTTAGTTATTTCCAATTCCATTCATTCGAGACATTTATTTTTGGTCATGTTACGCAAATACTCGTACTTCGACAAGCAAACAAACTGAAAGACAAGTACAATAATTGGAGTCGGCGCAACTGACTGCATAATACTCGTTCACGGTTCGAAAAACCGGCGAAACGTATGACAAAATGAAAATGTTTTCCGCTTCAATAGATGGAGCTAATAATTAATAGGTGCACGAGTAGAGGAGGTTAGCAGTGAACTGTGGCTTAAGAGTGTGGAAAATATAATTATTTCCTTTCTGATATGCCAATAGTCTGTATCTGTAGAGAATCTCAACAGCAAAATAATTTTTATTTTTTAACTGTTACATAATATAGTATTATCCCCGAAAGTGCTTAATCAAGTGATCATTCTCGACTATTATAAATTTGAATTGTTATCATTTATAACGATCGACATCTAGCATAAAAACCAATATACTCGTTTGACTTGGTATCCGTAAATAGAAACTACAAAACTACATTTGCTGTTTTGTTTACCGATTGATGATGCCTATGCATTGAAGGCAAACAATGATCGTCAGCTGGCTATCTTTTAGTCATAATTGTACTTCTTTTTCACTGATTTTTCTTTTTTTTTGCATGGCTGAAAGCAATCACGTAATTGCCTGGGTTACTCCCAGCCGTCAACGTTTCGCTTTTTTGGCTTAAATGGTAATGTGACATTTCTGGAGCACCTTGACGTAAATTTATAAAACGCATGAAGTTCACTTTATATTGTGTACGAATTGCAAAAAGTTTGATCAGTTAGCCAAACACTCGATATTTATATAAATCGAGTTTTTGTTATGTTGTTGGAATTCGATTTGTAGAGTTTTCAAGAGCTCTTTAAGCCGTGCTGCATTGATCTTGAGCGTGCTTTAGTGGACTTGGTTCATGAGCTCAGCTGATCAGCTGTTAATAGATAAATGAATTTTATTTATTTTTTATTTATCATTATATTTATTTGTTTTTAATGAAGCTTTATAGCAATTGGATGTCTTTTTTTAATTACCTATTAAAATCTTTTTAATTGACTTTTGGCTAGGTCAGGAAAGCTTATCAGTTATTTTTTGACGTTTTCCCAAGTATATTCCAGGAAATTCATGTAGCAGATTCTATAAATGACCCCGTATATTTCTTACTGATGATCATTAGAGTGGGATTTCCTCGATAATGATTATGAGGGGATTTCTACCCTGAATTTCTCTCTAAATATTCTTATACATTTGTTTCCTAGTCAGTTGATTGATTAAAAGTCGATATATATTTTTGTTGAAATTTATTTTAATTAAATTCAATCTGATCAGCGATCGTTTTGAATTTCTAATATCAAGAAAGTGTATCTAATTTAAATTGTAAATTATCGTTGGAGTATGAACATTTTAAGTGACTCTCAATATGAACTTTCTCATAGACGAAACTGTTAGCTCTCAAATATATTTATTAGAGCTTCCAAACCTGATCTCTCAACATCTTGCTGTTTGTTCTTTAGTGTTTGTTCTAATTAGTCACAGTTGGATCATCAATCAAAGTGTTTGACGATGCATGACTGATGTATATTTTGCATAATGTTAGCATGTTATAAAACTTCCAAGTTAAGTGATGATTTAATCCATAGTTTACTTGGATTTCTGTTCTAAAAACAAGTAAAGTTGTTCAATTTCTCTAGTTTTGTGTGTTTTTGGGAGCACACAATACCTGCATGCCATTGCGTTACGTTCTACTTCTCGAAAAAGCTGTTAAGCTATGTATTTTAATTATACCTGAAGTTATTTATTGTGCTGTAAAAATTGATTCCTTCACAGCTTTTGTTTTCAGTTTTCACGCTCATTTGAACATTAAGTATACGTGACCTGATCATTTATTTTTTGTGAATAATTTATAGTGATTGTGATCGAGTTATTAAACAACACTATATATTGCTATGCAAGTTTAGATCTGTAAAATATATTAGTTTTATTTTGTTTTCATCCAAGTCAAATATTTGTTGATCATATGACGCAGGTGATAAGTGAGCCATAAGTAGAAATGTCCACAACTTCTGTGAAGCTAATCACTTCAATCTCTTTATTTAGTCTGTTTACAACTTTAGCTAATCACTTAAGTCTTCGAATCTCTTTCCTACTAGCATTTCTTTTTCTTGTAAACAACTATCAAGATCAGCTTAACGATCGTCTATTTGCTTAGGGCTCATACATGAGCTGAGGCGCAAAGATTTGCTTTTTGCTTTAATCGCTCAGGTTACCTCATAACTTGAAGATCATTTAGTTGCACATGATGATCATCATCATCATTATTATCATCAATGATCAATTTCCCTTGAATGTGGTTTCTAGGTTAATTATGCGAATACATTTACAGATCGAAGTTATTATGTTTATATTTCATGTACGCCAATGACTCACGATCCATTTTTCCGCTTAGTTCGGTCAGCCACATAATTAACTGGAACACCTGAGCTTAACTTTTCGTTGTTTACCTATCGCCAGCCTTGTCTTTGTATGCCCTACCCATAGAGCAATATACATGTATTCATTCATCATCATTTTATTTGCGCTCACGTTTTGGGGGCAATTCCCAATGCATTAGCTGCGTGCACTCTCTGTAAAAGCAAAGTCTCGACTTATTCATTCACACGCTTATTCAAATTGCAACAAAATAATTAACACTTAAGTCTAATTGTTATTAACTTTATAGACTTGTGTGGTGTACACACACACACACACACACATACTACATATGAATACACACAGAGACAAAGGCAAACAGTGAGGTCTGCAAATATTGGCACAACTGTTGGGTTTGGATTTGTTTTTTGACTATGGGATTTGATTTTCGTAGTTCGCCCATAGCTCGAGGCATTTTCGTCGTATAACTTTTGTTTAATATGTACGTGAGGCAGGCTTGGAAAGTTTAACAACATGTGCAAGAAATCGCTTTGGTAATATTAATAATAGAAAACTAAATACAATTTGGCGTCTGTCCTCAGTTGTTGTTTTTCTTTTACCGTCCACTGACTCGTCAAAATTCCAAGCGCGAATTTCATGGCTTGGTTATGCAAAAGACAACAAACAACAACAATCAGCAACAACAACAACAACAACAACGAAAACAAAGCCAAGTCGTGTCTTTTAACTAACAAAACAAATCTCGTCAAAATCGCCAGCGCCGTCATCGACAGGCCAGTGAAATCTTTGGGCCAGCTAAAAGCCATAGCTGACAAAAGTAGTAAAAATAATAAAAAGCTGAAAGGAAAAACAAGAAAATTGCTCAAACAACATGAAAATCAAACATTATCCGGGCAAAGCTGTCGATGCGAGCCTCTCGCTGGACAACGACAGCGCCATGGGCGCCCTGTATGAGGCCAACTGGTTGCAGGCGCATCATCAGCACCATCGAGCGCCCACGCAGCCAACACTCAGTCGACAGCCGAGCAACGCCGGCTCGAGCAGTTTCCTGCTCGATGGCATCTCGGCTCTGAGCAAGTATCAGATGACGCTGGAGAACATTAGGCGGCTGGAGCAGCAGGCGCAGGACAAGCGCATTGTGAGTGCCATCAAGGAGCTGAATGGCTATAGGCCGTCGGCGCTGCAGCATCACCAGCAGCAGCAGCTGGACAATGGCTGGGTGGCTGAGGAGGAGACGGAGGCGGAGGAGGAGCAGTTGGGGGAGAAACCAAAAACTGACAATGCTCCAACGCCAACCGCCGCCAACGTTAATCACTATGTAGTTGATCCAACGGAACGCCAGCGCCTGCCACGCCCGCGGCAACAGCTGTCCGTGAAGCCGCCCTCGCTGCGTCGCAGTCAAACGATGCTGCAGCATCCGCCGCCCAGTTATGTGACGCTACGTGCGCCCAAATCGAAACCCGCCCAACACAACAGCAGCAACAGCTCCTCCGCCTACTCCACATTCTCCTCCGCTGCCGAGGATCGGCAGCCGGAGCGTGTCATCTGCCAGCAGCCGTTGCGCCTACTCCAGCCACCCACAGAGCCGCCGCCACCTCCACCAACAGCCGGCAGCAAAGCAGCGCGCGCCTTCAAGCCGCTCAGCAGATCACAGACGAGTGTCCAGCGCTATGCCACCATCCGCATGCCCAACCACTCCGCCTCCTTCTGTCGGGCTACGGCACGCGCGGCGGAAACGCCAGACATCAGGCGGCACAGCCTAGAGGAGGCGTTGCAAGGTCTGCAGCTAGAGGAGCAGCTGCCGGATGCTGCTGCAGAGCCAGTTGTGAGCAGGCAGCCCGAGAGACACACGTCACGTCACATCTCGCCTGGGGCCAGCAGCAATGGCAGCGCGAAGGATCTCAACGGCGAAGGCTTCTGCATACCGCGGCCACGTCTCATTGTGCCCGTGCACACATACGCGCGACGCCGTCGCACAGGGAATCTCAAGGAGCAGTCAGCGAATGCCCAGGAGGAGGATGTAACCAGTGGTAAGGAGGTTGCGTAGAGTAGGTTGTAAAGGGTTGCGAAAAGTTGAGATGAGAGAATTGATGAATCAAAAGGTTGATTGATTGGGTTATTAAGATTGGAGAGAGTTAAGATCTGCATTGAAATGACTTACAATGATTTAAATCAGATTCATACTAATCTAGCTGGTTATTGTAATCATTAGCAAAGATTGGAATAACTATTTGAAAGACGTTTTTGGTATAGGGATATGTTGAGGTAGCTGAAACCTATATATATTGAACTCAGATGTGATTCGATGTTGTAGGATTCGATCAAAATTCAAATCTATTAGGGAGATTCAATATATAGAACCAAACAACCCTAATTAAAGATAAAATCCAAATTAAATTTGTATATAATTTTCTCAAGTCAGTTTTCTTTACTTTTAACTCTATTCGTCTCTAGCTTAAAGCTATATTCTGAATCAATTAGGTTTGAAAGCCCTTAATTAAAAGAGCAAAGCTACCAAAATTTCTACAAAGACTACCAATAATTTCTGTGGAGTTCATAAAGCTGCCGTCGCTCGCTCAATGAGTTCTTGAGCTCAAAGCGTAGCACGAAGCTTAATTGAGAGTTATTGAAAGAAAGCACCGAGCTGTGCCTTTAATTTCGATGACTAAGACATTTGTTTGCTTCTACAATTTGCGCTCTGCTTTCCCATACTTTGTTTACACCAAGTGAGATCTCTTGTTTAATCAATCGAACGCTCTGCTCGTTTCAGATGGACGCGTGGAGGTGTCACGCGAGGGCAAGTACCTGTCGACGCTCTCCGGCGCCAAGGTGCTGGGCGAATTGGCCATATTGTACAATTGCCAGAGGACGGCGACAATCACAGCGATCACCGAGTGCAATCTGTGGGCGATCGAACGCCAATGCTTCCAGACAATCATGATGCGAACGGGCCTCATTCGGCAGGCGGAATACACGGATTTCCTCAAGAGGTATGTAGTCTGGATTAGTTAGTGGACTGGACATCGAGATAAGGTTTTAGCTTTCATTATTTCCTCGAGCCAAATAACAAATTGCTCAACTGGTTGCAGAAATGCAATTAATGTGCATTTGCACTTAATTATATCAATTCCGCCAAGTTGTTGTTGTTGTAGTTTCTTCTTTCTATACATATCTCTGGCCATTATAAGAGAAAAAAAAAGTAATATATATAAAACGCTTGGTTTAAGGATTTTTGTTGTTCGTGTTTGGTTATTTTTTGTGCAACTTTCTCTTCGTCAAATGGGCAAACAGCATCAGACGACTTTGATGTCGTCGTCATGGTCATGGGCGTCTCATATACGTCTATTACAATGACGTGCAATGGCTCAAAATGAAAAGACGATGCGACGGACCGACAGACACACAGACGGAGGGAGAGACTGACAGACCGGCAGACCGAAGACTTCGATCGTTCGGTTAACGAACGCATCGAAATGTTTTCTTTTCTCTCCAACAGATGCACAAGTTGGCAACCAGTTTAAGGCCACGAAGCTGGCGCCGTGAGTGACCAACAAATTAATCGCATTTAATTGGCCGCATTGAGGGTAGGCCAGGCGCCTTCAAACACCTTTGATGGCCAGAGCTGACTCCCCTTCCGCGCTCGTGGCACCTTTATAATATGATTAGCGCTCAAAGAGTTTCGACATTTCAAGCATGAAATTGCGCGAAAAAAATGCATTACACCACATGAAAATGAAAGTGCAGTTAAGGGGACGGCTGTAGTTAAGCTGATAGAGATTAAGCCGATGAGTAACGTTACGAAAGACACAATTCAGCAGTTTGGCAGAAGGTTTTTTGGGCAGTGGGTATATAAATAGGGAATTATGACTAGGGAAATGATAGGAATGATGATAGATAATGAGTTATTCCTTGCTTGGCTTATTTTACTAGACAGATCAAAATGATTTTTAATCAGGATTTATATTTGTTTCTTTTTTTCTTTGCTTTCCGAATAAATTTCCTTAAAATATGAATCCTCCATTCTTAAAATCTGTCTAGCATTTGCTGAGGGCAAATATCATCTACCTTTGCTAGCTCTTTATAATCTAGTTGAACTGGAAAAGGTGACAGAACTATTTAAAAATCTTTTTAGCCTTTGCCTACTTGAGAATACTCTTCACCTTTTCCTTTTACCCTTTGTTCAAAATAAGTTGTTTTCTTTTCTTATACTTATTTTTTTTCGTTTTTAATGCAATTTCTTCTTCACTTCGTGCTGTAGCGTGCCCATTTTCAAGGACTTGGCCGAAGATACACTGATCAAAATCTCCGATGTGCTTGAAGAGACGCACTATCAGCGGGGTGATTATATTGTGCGCCAGGGCGCTCGTGGCGACACCTTCTTCATCATCTCGAAAGGCAAGGTGCGTGTGACAATCAAGCAGCAGGATACCCAGGAGGAGAAATTCATCCGCATGTTGGGTAAAGGTGACTTCTTTGGCGAGAAGGCCTTGCAGGGGTAAGTAGAGCAATCGATTGGCATTAGCTTCTAGCTAACTAACGTTGGTCTATTTATAGAGATGATCTGCGCACAGCCAACATCATTTGTGAGTCGCCCGAGGGCGTCAGCTGTTTGGTCATTGATCGCGAGACATTCAATCAGCTAATATCGAGCCTGGACGAGATCAAGCATCGCTATGACGATGAGGGTGCCATGGAACGCAGAAAGTAAGTCTAAGCTGAGCGTACAAATATCTTGATCGGCTCACTTATCTCTGCTTGAACTCCACTAGGATCAATGAGGAGTTCCGCGACATTAATCTGACAGATCTGCGTGTGATTGCCACACTGGGTGTGGGAGGCTTCGGGCGCGTGGAGCTGGTGCAAGTGAATGGCGACAACTCGCGTTCGTTTGCCCTCAAGCAGATGAAGAAGTCGCAGATTGTGGAGACGCGTCAGCAGCAGCACATCATGTCCGAGAAGGAAATAATGGGCGAGGCCAATTGCCAGTTCATTGTGAAACTGTTCAAGACCTTCAAGGACAAGAAGTATCTGTATATGCTGATGGAGAGCTGTCTGGGCGGCGAACTCTGGACGATATTGCGTGATAAGGGCAACTTCGATGATGCCACGACTAGATTCTATACGGCTTGCGTGGTTGAGGCATTTGACTACCTGCACTCGCGCAACATTATCTACAGGGATCTGAAGCCGGAGAACCTGCTGCTGGATGAGAAGGGATACGTGAAGCTGGTGGACTTTGGCTTTGCCAAGAAACTGCAGACGGGCCGCAAAACCTGGACTTTCTGTGGCACGCCCGAATATGTGGCGCCTGAGGTGATACTGAATCGAGGACATGACATAAGCGCCGATTACTGGTCACTTGGCGTGCTCATGTTTGAGCTGCTCACGGGTGAGTAGCGACTGATAATCCCGATGCCTCTCAAGCTCTTTACTCACTCTTCACTTTTTACAGGAACTCCACCGTTTACGGGCTCGGATCCCATGCGCACATACAACATTATACTTAAGGGCATCGATGCCATCGAATTTCCGCGCAATATCACACGCAATGCCAGCAATTTGATCAAGAAACTGTGTCGCGATAATCCCGCCGAGCGTTTGGGCTATCAACGCGGCGGCATTAGCGAAATACAGAAACACAAGTGAGTGCATCACTGCGGGGGAGGGAGGGAAATACTAGCTAGATCTATAATATTTATTAATAAATTCATTTGCTATGTAGATGGTTCGATGGCTTCTATTGGTGGGGCCTGCAGAATCGCTCTCTGGAGCCACCAATAAAGCCCAGCGTGAAGAGCGTTGTGGACACAGCCAATTTCGATGAGTATCCACCCGATCCGGAGGGACCGCCACCAGATGATGTTAGTGGCTGGGACAAGGATTTCTAGTGTAGAAAACGTACGGAATGTTTTTTTTTTAAATTTTTTTTTTTGACGCTGCTCTCTAACGAACTATGTCGCGCATCTGCTGCCACTGGAGACAGAGGGTTATTGATAAGCGATCGGTTGGATCTTAACTAGTGCGCCATTTGTGTGCCAAAGCAATAGTCAGGATCAGGCTTCCACAATAATGAAAGCTGATCCCCCAAGTAGCAGTCGCAACGCCTAGGGTCCTCATACTACTAATCGTAATCGCAAAGAAAAAAAAAAAAAAAAAAAAAAAAAAAAAAAGGATACACATCTGCACACACCCATCTACAAGCAGCTTAAGCATGCAGCTCATTGTCTCAGAGATCTGATTATCATGATAACATTGTGCAACACTATGAATTTATTAACGAGTTTATAAACTATTATTATGTAAAGATTGAGAAATCTATGTCTTCTAGTTCATTGGATATCGATAGAAATTGTAAGTAGGTTCCTGTGTCCTGGCATTGCTCTAATTTAGCCATGTGCATTGTGTAAATTGTTTTCCCCTATCTATTATCTATAATCAAATTATAATCAACAAAATAATTGTTAAATGTACCAAGTGCAAACACATACACACATACACATCGGATTGCCTTATAGTCTGTAAGCTGATTCTTATGCAATTATATGATCAAGACTTTCATACCCATAACATGTAACTCTTTCCTTCACTTGTCTAATTATCTATCCATCATTTTACTATTTCTAAGCAATTGTTGATCTATACGCTAATAATTATTTAACCATTTAAGACTTTGTCATTTTTTTATAATCAATGATATCTATATAAATATGTAAAATAGTATGTTCATTGTTGTTCATTTTAATGGATATGATGGATAATGGGTATTGCTGAAAAGGGATAAACTTCAAATTTCTGTATAACATAAAAAAATATTCTAGTATATTCGGTTGATAAAATTTAAATATGTCATATAGTTCTGTATAAGGTAGTAGTTACTGTAGTAGTTTTCCTTTGATAAAAAGAAACAGCTTGCGCACTTTTTAAATAGGGATATATTTATAAGAATTCTTGTATTATTAATTACATGAATTATTTATTTGAGATGTATCCCATCTGTTGTCGCCTCTTGACTGTTTCTATGCAAGCTATCATATCATTCTTGAACATTTAAGCAGGTTTACCCCTAGCAGAGAGATACGAACATAACTATCAGTTAAAAACTAAGCTCTGATAGTTTATCAAAATGTCAAATCGAATAGTTTAGTAAAATATGTTCAGCATGTTGTATACGTTCAATTCGCCATGTTCTAGATATACCCATATCAGCCCTTCTATACTAGGGACATTAAAGAAAATAAGATAAAAAACAAGTCTAGAAGGGTATTTAATATTCGATATCTTTGATATATATTAGCTTGTCATTCTCAATTACACTCACTCGATTTGCCATTAGTTTATTCAGCACTTCGTATAGCTTACGGAAGCCTCTCTTGCTTCCTGGATTTGAGCACTCGAGGAAACTGGCCGAAAACTCACGTTTTGACTCAATGAGAATTGAATGCAATTCCAGTGCATACGAAAGAAAAAAAAACATCAAATTGAAGCGAAAAGCAAAAAGCCAAAATAGAATTCAAGACAGAAACTCAGCTACGTGCGCAACGAGACTTTAGGAAAAATTCAAAAGCAGAGAAAGCTGAGAAAAATAAGTCTAGAGCTCGAGCACTGAACGGAGAACATTCTGTAGAGGTAGTTCGATTCGTACGGTTCTAGACAAACGGAACAGTCTATACCCAAAAACACAGTAAACAACAAAAATATAAATAAAAACTAAAAAAATAAAAATAGATATAAGTAGAAGTGATTTTAGCTGATCGGTAACTGCGTATGATATATATTTGCATATATTTTAAATGATCCGAAGATCGTAAAGAAGATCCAGAATGATAACGATTAGCTGGAGCGTGCTGCTGTTCCTGCTGCTGCTGCATATAACCGTCACCTTCAGCCTGCATCTGGAGAATCAGACGCGCGAGCATGTCAAGCAGCTGATCGGTGAGTTCTATCGAATCGTAGCCGATGAATCGGGCTAATGCTGTTGAGATTCCCGCTTCTAGCTTGCAAACAGCCGAAGGCGCCGGGCCTGTGCCGTGGCCGGCAGTTGCGCTACGCCTACAACAAGGAGACGGCCAACTGCGAGAGCTTCTACTACACGGGCTGCGCCTCCACGGAGAACAATTTCCTGACCTACGAGGAGTGCAGACGCGACTGCATGCAGCGCGGACGCTACTAGAGAGTAGATCTAAGTTATTTATTATCTTTGTTTTTATTGACAACAAAAACATCTATTGAAATTCCCTGAGAACTAAGACTTTTTGGCCTTCTTGGACTTGGGCGGCTTCCGCGGCGTCTGGCCTCGTGTCAGGGCACGCCAGCTGGCGATGAGCAGCAGCAGCACCACCACCAAGATGACAGCCAAACTGTCCAGCGAGTGGTAGATAAACCAGTTGAGCTCGATGCCCGGCGATTGCAGTAGCTCGACTGCAAACATGCCATGCTGCATCACGTGCTCCACGCTCCAAATGGCCGTCTCGAGCGGCGTGCGCTCGCGCTGATTGAAGATCTGCGCTAGCTGCGCGGCACGTGAGGCGTAGCTGCAGGGGATTAAAGATTAGTTAGAGAAATAGAATCAATTAGATCTCTAGGTAGCTCACCTGGGCTTGCTTAGCTCATTCAGCGACTCCTGCAGCATTTCCACATTGATGTCCAGATAGTCCAGCTTGAGGCCGATGCCGCGATCCTGGGCCGCATAGGCATTCAGAAACTGATCGCCATAGATGGGCGTCATGAGCATCGGCTTGCCGCAGTGCAGCGCCTCGGTGAGTCCCAGCAGACCGGCGTGCGCCCAGAATAGACGCACCTTCGGCTGGCCTAGGAGCAATGTGAAAGTTAGCTTTAATTCAAAAAAGATTTACTTTGCGATTCGACTTACAGAGCAGCGCCAGCTGCGGCGCCCATTTCACAAACAGAAACTTGCTGGCATCCAGTTGGGGCTTGGGCGGCTCCGAAGATTCCCATTTCCAGATTACGTTTAGGGGCTGCTGCTGCAGCACCTCGATAATCGCGTCCAGTTTCTCGGCATCGATGCTGGAGGCGCGCACCATGGAGCCCCAGCTGATGAAGATGACGCCCTGCTTGGACTGCTCCAGGAACTGGACAATGAGCGGGCTCAGCTGCTGCTCGTCCTTGCTCGTGATGTGCACGCCGCCCACCTCCAGGAATTGCTGAGTGCGCGGGCGACTGCCCATGTGTGAGTAGTGCTGGTTTCCCAGGATGAATGCCGTCTGGGCACGAGCCACAGCATCCACATCCACATCGATGTCGAGATGGCGCTTGATCAGCGCATTGTCCGCCCGATTCGTGTGCAGCCTGTAGATGAGCTTCAGCAGCTTGGCCTGGAAGAAGTTCAGGAGGCGATCGCGCCACTGCAGAGGTCGGGGGAAGCCGACGAACTCGGACTGGACATAGGACGGCGTATCGGGCAGATCGATGCGGTCGTAGTAGTAGGGCATCAGTGCACAAGTGCTAATCCCAATGATGGGCAGCTTCAGCAGCTGCGCAACTGCCAGCTGGCAGTCCGTGCTGAAGTACTCCGTGAGCAGCAGATCGTAGGGCTGCTGTTTATGGCGCTCCAAGATAGTCTCAACATGGCCACTCTGGAAGAGGCTCTCACAGGAGATCTGCCCGTTGATATAGAGCTCGTAGTACTCCTTCAGGAGCTCCCACAGCGAGCGTGTGGGCGTGTGCTCCGACAGCGGCACCACGTTGATTGTGGTATTCGACTGATCCTCGTTTGCGTCGGAAATCAGCAGCTCTTCGTAATTTGGCAGCTGCGCTGCCTGGGGATGTCGCACATACGAAATGACCGTCAGCCGGTGACCCCGCTGCGACAGCTCGTTGAGAATGGGTAGCACCACCTTAAAGTGGCTGTAGCCAAAGTGCGGGAATATGGCGAGCACATTGCCCGCACTTGCCCCACTTAGAATCAGCGCCACACAAAATCCAATTAACGTCGCACGTCCCATTGCCGTCTTCATTGCTGCGCGGTGGTCGAACAAATGACGCTTTGTTCGTGGGTGCCATGATTACGCAACGCATCGCTTGATATCGCGCTTGACTGCGGTTGAGATACCCGTCTGCGACTATTACTATTGTTGTTGCGGTTTATTAATAAGTGTTTGTTTGTCACTTTGTGGCTGATTGCATGATTAAACTGCTGCACTTGTACTTGTCAGCAATTGCATGTTTGTGACGTATGTCAGCACTGGTCGAGCTATTATCGATCGCACATTGAAAAACAATTTCATACTTTTGAGAGCGGTTTCTCTTTTTTCAAATGAGTGTTGCAGCCCTGACAATGGCAATTTGTTACACAGCTATCCACAGCAGAAAGTGTGCATTTTTATGTAGCATACTTTTGTGCGCATTCCTAAATATTTTGTTCGGCGGTAATTTTTTTGACTCGAACTATAGATGGCGCTAGCAAAGCAGTTAAGGTTTTAAAAATATACGCATAATTATATTAAATTGTCCTGCAAAACTGGTGTTTTAATTTAAAATAAATTTATCAAAATTTTATATATGCTATGTATATATAAACTAATTTATTAGTTACATATGTTGTTGGGAAATAAATTTATTTAAAAATATAAATACACACATATTTCTTGAATTTTAGCAATTAGATAAGCTGTTAGAAGTTTCTTAGTCAAAAGTGCCTACCGCATGGAAAATGTAAGGCTTTTATTTTAACTTCATTCTTAGAAACTTCAGGACGTTAAAGCCTCATAACAAACTAAAAGTCTCTTTAGATTATAACAAATCCAATCTGAATCAAATTATCAATTCCCATTCATAAGTTCGATTCATTTTCATTTCAGTAATTGGCCTCTTAACTTATTGTCGAGCACTTAATGCTGGCAAAGCCTTGAGATGTTCGATGCACAATTGAATTGGAAAAGGCCCCGAAAACAATAGATAATGGACAGTAGGAAGCGTTAATTGAAACCGCAAGCGATGCGACGAAGAGGCAATGTTAATAATTGTAATTGGCAGACAAAATGCAATTCGACTGGCAGCTGCAACAGCAGCAGCTGCGACAAGTGCAGCGCACCAAGAGTATAAGAGAGAGCGAGAGGGTGAGAGAGATGGAAGAACAGGGCTGGCCACAAGATTAGGAACTGTTAGAGCAAGTGCGCAGGCAGAGGGAAATCCATTTGGCTGCCTCGAGACATGGACATGGAACGACAGCTCTTTAGGCGCCTGCAAATGTGTAAAGGGTGGCTACAATCACGTCTGTGTGTGTAAGCGTGTGTGTGTGACTGGCTGTGATTGTGATTGTGGGCGTTGTCAACGACCCACTTCCCAGGGCAACACAACAAGTGCGCCGATTGGGCCACATTAGACGATAAGAGTCCAAAAACAAAAAAGTGAGAGAGAGAAAAAAACGCCAACCGTTAACAATGCTCGTAAGTGTTTTTTAACGATAAAATATAATAAGCAGCAGAAGACGCAAGGAGTGCAGGAAAAGTGTATTTGAACAAACAGAGCAATTAAAAGTGAGCTCAGCGCCAGAGTGCCTCAGAGGCGATAAGTGGATGCCCATGGGAAGCATTATACTGCCTGCCAGCTAGCGCGCGGTAGTTTCAATGACGCCCCCAATAAACACACTTACAGATTGGCCCCGATATCATCTCCGAAAAAATACAAACCACACTTACCATATGTGCATGTACCGAAAACCGAAAAAAAAAACATTTTCGAAATTTATATGAATTTCAGTTTGCCCTATATTCTCAGAATTCGAATATTAAACGAAACTCTGTTTACACTTTGCTGAAATAGTTTTCTTTTTGAAATGAATAAGTATATTGATATGGCTAAAATTTGAGAATCCGCTTTGCTATGTGGTTTATCTTGCTGGTATTTTACTATTCTGCAGATTCTTAATTTTGTATGAGATTATAAAGGGTATTTTTTTCTATGTCTTCATATCAAATTTGGGGAGTCTTTTGGGAAAGTATATTAAATTAAAAACTTAATAATGAAAATGTATTTATATCATTTAGTTATAGGCAGTCTTTATGATAATTTTTTTTCTCGTCTTTTGTTAGAAATGCTGCGTAGTAACAATTGCTAAAATTTGCATATTTTAAATTTTTATCAGGATTATTTGTCAATTGCATTTTTTTATATTTCATATAAATTACATATTTATTGGTTCGCTTCCTGAAAGGTAACAACCTTTCAGACAATATATAATACATATTAAATATTGAGTATTGATTAGATTTAAGGTTTTAGAAGGATTTTTTTTTTTACTTCTAAAATACCGGAAGATTATACTTTGGCTATCATTCTGTGTTCTTTCAAGTGGTGCTCTAGTACTAAGGGGGCTTGGCTTTTAAATGATATCAGTTGCATTTTTTTAATGAGAGTTTTTCTTTCGAGTAGAACCTAAAACACTAAAAAAATTAATGTGACCGTGAGTCTAAAAA